ATACTAATCGAGTAGATTCCCCAAGCAATGAAGGTTCTCACTATAAGATAAGAAGAATCCTTCCAGTCCCTCAAACCAGTAACGTAATTTTCTTACATAAATTTTCAACATAAATACACTCCATTACCAACCGTGTGGTAGACCGGTGCACACAATCACAAGATATCAAATGCTCACATATTCAATGCCTATAATCAAGGCCGGTTCACAGTGCACCTCGGCAATCAAGACTGGTTCACAGTGGTCCTCGGGCGAGCCGCTTAACAATACCTTCATCACGTGACTTAGCGTGGATTGCTCGTATCACGCTAATTGCTGAACAGCTGATCTCCAAGGTCTGATTATAGCATGTCAATTACTGGGCAAGATAAAGCCTCACATTAATAATGTTTGTGTCGAATATTTTGTCATTCGTAAGGAATGAGGTCAAATGTTACATGTCAATCAATGCATGATAAATCACACATTGGGTTAATATTTACGTTGTTTCCTGATTTTCTTGCAATAAGGTCTCGGGAAGAAATCACAAAACTCTATTAAACAGGTTCGCCATTGTTGAAGCTGGCAATAGCGCAACATAACACCTGTTTTTAATTTAACCTTTCTAATCTGAAAATTATTAGCTACAAATGTATTGATTGTGCATTAACCATGGAAATACTAGAGGGTGAAGAGTACATGTCGTTTGAATTGACATTATTTTTAGTAGGAAGAGATCTTCAATGTAGACTAAAAAGTATTTTCATTTCATTACATTCATTCCTCATGGACGTTCTTTGACTGTACGAGGAAGATTTTAAAGAACGTTTCAATTTAGTATAAGAAACTTAAGATTGGTTTTTACTAGCCTTTTCTTGTTATCTCGCCTATCATAGACATATGTTTACCAAATAATCCATTTCTTTTTCTAAGGAACAATAATTGAGGAGTGTAACGCGCACAAACATTTTACCCATGGAAGTGTGTCCAATCTTAGCTAGACATGAGACACTTGTCAACTCATATTTACTATTTTACATTGAGAGGCTTACTTGCAGGATATAAGTCGATGCAGGTTACATAACCCAGTTTGAGTGCATGAGCCGGGAAGGGGGCGACCTGTGTGTTCCCAGTAACCAAGATATTTCCTACGGGAAGCTGAGGTCACGCATCACGGTTAAGTAACCGCTGCAGGACCTTGTTGGCGATGGTTCATTGATCACACTATATTTGACTATCAGAACACTACCGTAACCAAGAAGATTGAATTCGAGTTTTTTCTTAGCTCTCCTTTTATTTAGGGGTGGCCTTCTACAGGGTTGTTCATTTCTTTGTGGGTGAGATGGTGATGGACCGTGGAACATACCAGCGATGTCTTTGGTTCGAGTCCCGGTTCCGTAAAAGAAATGTAGTACAGTTCATTCTCTTACTGTTCCGCCTCACTCCTTGCTTTACTACTTCCCCATGTGTACGTACATAATTTTTAAGCCCACATAGACAAATGCAAGGTTAAAAGACACAGCTTACCTCTTAAAAATAGAAGTCTCTATTTAAACTTTCAACAAGTAAAGGAGACATAAGGACACAACAACTTAAAAATCCGTGGTACCATAACTCTAAACTATACCTAAAGCCATTAAAAAGATAAGAAACACTCTGAGTTCCAATGGACCTTTTATTTCACACTACGTCCAGTTCTTGCTCAACCCCAGACTTGTTTGAAACATTACACCTCACACGGAGTCCCGTCGAGTCAAGACAATTTATATTATACCCTGCGAATCAATCATTTGCCCAGTTTCCAAACTAATGGTTTAACTCTGCTCAGCCCACTTTGAGCGAACCTTGTAGGATTATCATAGTTACTTTACCGGTCGCACCAGCCGTACAACTTTCATGGGTTTATATGTACTTTCTCTTGTTTTTATGAGGTGGTTTTTCTCGGTAACCGACAAAGTATTAGAATGAGGTCATCAAGGCGTTGGTCTGAGGATTACAATGAATGATGTTGTGTGGATTACTAAGGAGCTTTGGTGTTGAGTTTGCGTTACGGGTAACGGGATAGTGAGTATTATTACATTTCTAGCACGTTCTTCAGTTTAAGCCCTTGTATACACCCTAACTAATTGTTTATCCGTTTAAACATAGGTTTAAATTTGTTGTTAATTTCGAACTTTTCAACAAATGTTTGTATAGTGAAAAATGATTTGGCATAATTTTTTTCCAAGTCTTGCCTAAGTTTTGACCCGAATTGATTCATTTTGTCCTTGTCCCTTAATAGTAAGGGACAAGGACCATAGGGTCGACCTAAAGATCTTATCATTGCTACGCCAGTCAGAAAGGAGTTATCTCAGTTTACCTAGTTTAAACAGTTAAATACAAAAATATATTTCCTTAAATTAGTCAATGAACGAGGGAAGCTCTGATAGGTTCCACATATTGAAGGCTGCAAATCGTTTTTCTTACAATTTCTGACTTTCGAAGATAATCCACTTCTGTTCAAGTAATTGGTTTCTAAATTAAAATTAATTCAAATTTTTCAGATTCAGGTCGCCAGTCCAATTAAGTAACTGTTAATTTCCCTGTGTAAGTATTATTGTCAGCACACAATCTCCAGTCCATTAAGCCACTTTCCCGTTCCCTGTTTAGCAAAGGATGCCGCCTCGAAAGTGCCCAAACCAGAGCAGTAAAGATATGATATCTGCCCGCACCCAGAACTAGAAAAGTTGAGTTGACACAGCTGTGGGTTTATTTTCCTCTTCTCTTTTAGAAACCCGGTGTTTTGTACCCTAGAAATATCACAAACCTAAATTGATTTTGAACTTTTGTGGACGGCGAGCATTTGTTGTCTACACCTATTGGTTCTTTAAAGTATTACTTAAAATGTAGACGTAGTAACAAAACAATCATCATACTGAACATACGACTAACCTTTTTAAAAGTAATGGGTATATGACTGGTGCTCACTATTCAAATGTAAGTTTTATCGTCCACATTTTAATATTCCATTTTTGCAATCATAACCTACGAACTAAGAATTCATCATGTACCCTGAAATCAAATTTTTCATTATTGTTATTTTGTGAAAGTATACTGTTCGAATTACACCAGTAACATGTGTGTAACAATTTCCTAACACCCAAATGATGGTTTTGTAACTTCTGTCCGTACGAAAAAAAGAATGCATATTTTTTTTCATTTCCTCTTCTTTTTTCAAGCTACAATATATGAAGGCAAGATAATTTTGTTGTGAACACTGTTCCTTATCTTCCGCTTTAGGGCCGCTTTCGAAAGGCACAAAAAGCAAAGATCGACGACTACGGCTTATACACACCCTACAGCAAGTCCCGCGTTTAACACAGTCCGGGTGTTAATTTACCCGCCAAAATACGAGATAGAAAGTCGACTTCGGGACGTGTTTCTAAGTGGAGGCCGTCCCATAAACTGGGACTACAAGGTACCAATTTGTCTGACACTCGACCCCCACTTATCACTACTAATTGATAACTCATGATAGACGAAAATGTAAGTCTCAGTTTGGTTTATTTTGTTTTATTCAAGCCATGTTATTGAGAGGTAATGATTCTACTCCCTATAGACTCATACAATAATAACTCCCATGTAGAATACAGTTTGATGGAATCTAAGTTATGCAATTTAGAATTTCAAGAAAATTTACGTACGAGTAGAAAAACTATACTCTGGTTTTAAGCTTTAATTATGTAGTTTAAACAATTTGTTGACATATCTTCTTCCTAATTGGGTTTCATGTACAGTACATCAAGACGCCAAATAACTGTTATTTTGCAGGATTTTAAAAGAGTTTTTGTGCAGAAACGTACCAACGTAACTTCCCACAAGTTCCTCAACTCGTCTCAGTTTATGATTATTTTTCAAATAACTTGATCATAAACATAAAACTTATTTGTACATACCACTGTTTAATTACGTGAAAGAAGATTTTATAAAGAAAATTAAATTAATAGTTTTATGCGAATCTACGAAGATACCTAGGTAATTATCCAATAGTTAGAAAATCAGAAGAGTAATCTTGCTAGTTGAGGCTCAAAAATATCGAAATTTATGTTAGAGGACTTGTGCAATGGTGCAAATTGAGCTACAAAATGTGTAGGCGTTTGTCTTTTTAATCAACGCATTTGGCCCTTTCATTTTGACCATTCAGCCGTTTGATAATGATCGATAGACCTTTAAGGAGAGCTCAGCTGCTCAAATTGAGCTCTTAGCCACTCCCACGGAGAGTGTGGGCGACGTAGATATCTTTACGGCACTTGTTGGCACCGACTTTCCCCCTTCTTTTATGACTCTATCCACACACTTACAGAGGTAATCGATCAGTTAACGATCACAAGTGCTGTTGGAGAATAGAATCAAGTCTTCACGGATGATTAGAATATGTTTATGTGCACTATCGTCTTATTTGTGACTGTTAAAAATGAGTTTGGAAAGTTGTGTTTGACGATAAACGATTTGGTGAGATCTTATATCAATGAAGAGAAGAAGAGAAGGGTTAAATAGTTAAACCTGATTATCAAATCATTATGATGGATGAATACAATATATTTATGTGCACTTTCGTCTCATTTGTGTCTAAGATTAAGAGAGAAGATGTACGAAAATTGGCTTCATCTATAAACAATCGAGTACGATCCTCCATCTAAGAAGTGATGAAGAGAAAGAGTTTAACGTCAAGAGTCTGATTTATTTGTTGCTTATGAGTTTCACTACACATCAATAATGTAATAGTTCAAAAAGTGAGTATAATAGCTCATTCGTTGCATATCAAAATTAATTATGCTAAAACTATTAAGAACATTTATTGCAAGACTTTCCTACATCATACAAGTATACCAATTCAATAGCGCTTTTTGTTCTCATTTAAGCATTAGATCAAATGAAAGAACTAACTCCCCAAAAAACAACGTGTAAAATGTTTGTCAGCTGGACTATTTGATATTTGACACTTGTGTATGTAATACTACATGATGAAATATTAAACTTACCATTAGAAAATTGAGATGGGTCTCATGGCACAATCGAATCTGTAACAAAACATACATCAATAAAGTTTACAGCTCAAAGTTTTAGTAACAAAATGTTACTACAATGTTACAACAATGCTATGTGCAAACATTTAAAACCCCCTATATACTATAACAATTGTTATAAACAAAAAACTAACAAGAAGATATCAACTTTTACTATAAAAGTTCATGTTATGTTAAAAGTTATACAAAATTAATCCTGTTTGGAATGTTTCACTACTTGTGAATTACTTGACACACCTTCGACACTTTATGATGCAGAATGGTATTTTGGTTAGTCTGTATCATGGTAGGTTTAGCATGGCTTATCGTTTGTTATAGCCTTATTCCATCCATTATTTTACACGAAAATAAGCTAAGCTATTAGTTACTATGTTATCACGGCTAAAATAAATCCGTGTTATAATACGTGTTTACCACACAGAGTTGTTGACTCCACAACCAGGAGTCGTAACTTAGCAGCTTTCACTTCGGTTTATTTATAGATAATGAGGAAACTCGGTGGACATTAGGGACCGTTATATTGACAGGGCTAATTTAAACTATAGGATTAGTACACACGTAGGCGTGTTTAACACATTAGATGTTGCAAATGTTATTAGGTTATTTTAACTTTTTAAATTTAAACATTGTATTGTACACGTTGTAAGGTACGAACTTTGGCAAGTGCCTTAAAAACTACTACGAGTGTCGTTAACACTATTTACGCGAGCTGTGTGCAATACTTTATCTACGACAGTGTTATAATTGCTAAAAATCACTACTCAGGTCCGTTACCAGTGTTGTTATGAGTAAAACTTCTTATGAAAGTAAATGTGAAACTTTTCAATTGCAAGAACTGAACTGAAAGGTCTACTACAAGAAACGGTCGTAGGTAAAGTATAGTTTACCATATCGCAATTGCAATGTATCATGTCATAACATCATAACCTATCGTTACACGATTGTAACATATTGTAACAGCGTTGTAACATATAGTAACATGATTGTATGGTAACACCGTCCCTGTAGAGTGTAGACGGCTGCGGTCGGAGAGCCACGCGCGGCTCAGACTCGAGGATTGTCTTTCAACTGGTTTTTATAGGTTTCTCGAGATGAGTCTCACGAGTGTCGTTGTATCTCCTCACTTGTGGTCGACTTTGTATTCGATATACTTTGAATAATGTAATGTAGTGATTCGTCAGATATAGTGATAGTACAGTGACAATTTAGAATACCTTTGGCTAGTATGAGGATTACCAAAGGCGTTATATTTCAGTCACACATCAAAACTGTAAACAGGTTTGACCTTACATGAGTTTGATTTAAGTGGTTGTAGTCTGAACTTGTAAAGTATCTAAAGTCTTCATTGATTATAATGTACCAAGCAGATCATAAGTAACTTATTCTCTCTGTAAATAATGGTGGTCTTAGTTTCAAAGGTACAAAAGTACGTACCGCACACATCCTAAACCTCACTTATATGTCAATGCTGCTTAGAAATGGTATATCTTAAGTGCGTTTGCTGATCACTCGATTCGTATGTAACACCTAATGTTATTTATAGTTATTGTTTGGAATAAGCCAAACAACCATTATTATGGAAACTATAGTAAATTATTCGAGCTGTCTATAAAGTTCGACAAGTCCCCCTCAAGTCCCACGCTGTCGCCGACACCAGGGTCCGCAGCACACACTATATCCGTTACAGAGTGGCGTGGCCCGTGTGTAAAGTGGATACTATACTGCGATAGTTTTATCTCGTCTTGAGTGTGTGTGGTCCATTCACTTGCTGGTGGTCACATGAGAACCACACACTAAGTATAATTAGATAATGTAGCATTGAATAATGATTACCTACTGAAAAAGGTGACCTTGTGTATTACATCAATTATCGACCCATTTCTATATTTCCACATTTCTCAAACAGTAAAGAAAAATCTACTACACTAGGGTATCTCAATAGAAGCAAGATTGACTGCTATGGGAATGTAGTTACGGTTGTATTTAGAACGGCCAATAAATATGGAAGCAGTCAGAGATCGTTTCCAATAATGCTGATCTCCTGCTGAAGTTCAGCACAGTTACTCCATCGCTCCCGCAATGCAAAGGAATGCCGCTAGATCGACGATGTTGTTATTTTCTCCGATTTACATACAGTATCGCAATCGACCTCCTTTTAAGGGGACTTCTGGAAAGTCTCCGTGACAAATTTATTATTCTGCTAAATAAGGAATAAATATGATTCCTCCATCGTACAAACGTTAGATATGTATTTAAATGCAGGGATGGTTTCAGTTGTGACATATTTGCTGCTTTAACTTTCTGGACTTAAAATATTATACTTGCTTTCTAGTTGTTCTTTAAATTTTTTCAAACAAATCATGACGAACTTTCCAATGAAAAGTGTGATTAGAACAAAGATATTTTCATGTATTTTTTATAAATGTGTGTGTATAGTAATGCAATAAATCATTGTATGTATAATAATAACTTATTTGTGAATTTATTTAATCGCAGTTATCACAATGTTATGCATGTGTTTATTATCGTCCCATTAGACCTTCGTATTCTATTTAATGAAGAATGTATTCAAAAACAACTTTCTCAAACAAAAAGGTACAAGGTAAATATCCACGATTGGTACATTCACATCACTAGAAACGGTTTTCTGCCCTACACAGTTTCTAGTTTGTATAACTGTGGATCTAAAGTTAAAAAAATTTTTTAAGCACATATAGGGACAAACTAAAAATTGTGGTATGTCCTGTATTTACTCGCAAACTATCCTCAGATTTAATGGAAAGACGACGAACGCGTGGCTCGCATCAAACCAGTAACCCAATATCAACACAGGTTCACAACATTGGCAACAGATGGGAAAGGTAGGTCGTCAGCAACCTTCTCTCTTACGAAGCCAGGTGGTATACGGCGCGTTGGGCCAAAAACTGTACTTCCGAAAATTATAAACTTGCAGCAAATGTGGTACCTACCACCAACGTAATTTCTTCTGCACAGCAGCTGTTATATACCTCTCAAAAACTTTACTCCTTTTGATATACTTTTACATTAAATTTATTTCAGACAATCGTTAAGTATGACATTTTTATACCGACCAACCCAATGCAGTTAACCGACAATTTGACAGCGTCTTAGTCCCCTATGCGATGGATTATCTACCCTAGTTAAATATCTTCAAATTGTGTTATCATTTTACGTAATCGAACCCAAAGCAGTGTCGTTAAAAATACTTAAAACTTTCAGTCCACGATGTTTCAGAAGATGCGCGTTTGGCGATTGCGTGCTCCAGATGATGTTTCTCTACTCGAGATGTAGATGCAGAAACCCAATACAGAAGGCAAGCTCGCGTTGGTCCATGTTGGTAACCTAACCGCTGTAGAACGTGATCAAAGACCAGTCACCCACTGACTACGGCGACAAATCAATTAATAATCCATACATAATTCATGAGTCGGCAGCAACCCACCGCATCTTCGTGTCCAGAATGGAACCTAGCTGATGATAATATTACAACATACTCTTAGGGTTATTTAGTTTGTGTCCTCTTTTTAGTTTTGTGGATTGTTACAATTGATTCCAGCCGATGGACATGTCTAGTTTATCAGGCTTGATTTGGTGAGGAAGGGCTGAAAGAGCAACCCATACCTAAAAAGTCACCTATATAGAGAACCATACATCATCATGGTCAAACGGTATATTAGATGTATATGTGTTTAAACGTGAGTAATAAACAGTAATTTTAAGGGTTACACAAGAAATTTCTGTTTTCTCATCATTTACATGGATACAATTAGAAGATAAAGATTTCAATCATATGAATTCTCGCGAGGACATTTCCTCATAGATTATACGGTAAACATTTCCAACACGTTATTACTCACTTTCACATCTCTAATAAAGCAATTTTTACAAAGTGGTGGATATTTACCATTTAGAGGAAATCGCCAAGAGCCAAACACTTACGACTGGCCGTTCCTAGCAAACCGGTAGGACTCCTTCATCAAACCTCGGAGGAATATTGGGTTTTTATTGACCACTCGTATACTTCTCCCAAACACCTCTTTGGAATTCAGTGTTATATAATCCACTAGCTAGCCAACCCAAAATTGTTTTGATTGTGGAATAGTTTTTAGAAAACTCACTAAAGTTAGCCTAAAAGACCTATGAAACACATTATTCGAGTTTACTACAACGTTTACTTACTGCTCAAAGCACTAAACCTCTTAAAATAAATAAAGCACTAATAGGTTGCAAAAATAATTTGTTTTCGTCCATGAAGTGGTATTATGATTTTTTTTAGAGGTTACCTGTAAAAGAAGAAATCTGGTTTTATACTATTTTTAACAAACCTATCAACACAATACTGTATAATAAAACTCATGCCCATGGCATGAAAAAAGATCCGTGAGGTATTAAGTTCGTCACTGAAGCGTTTCATTTGATTTCAAACTAGACACAAGTTAAAAAAAAATCTTTTCATTCTCTGTATTCGAAAATAGTACATTTCCATACAGCTGAGATCTTCGAAAGTCGTCAACTTCCATACACCAAAAAAGTAGTAGTCAGCTGACTTTACCTGACATAAACATTACTTTCGCTACACAAACAATACTATGCCTGACATCAACAAAGTTACAACTGAAGTTCCCGGTTAGCTCAGTTTTTTCATCGTGATAAAAATTATATGAAAATCCCATTTCGGTGCTCGATAGAGTATCCCATGCTCGTCAGTAGTGTAAATTGATACAGTTTCGTAAGAGTTAACCTGCTTTAATTAGGATAAAACATATTATTTATACTCTTAAAATCTCTTTGAATAGAATTCGAGAACACCACTGGCTGTATACTGCACAAAACAAATTCAAAAACACTAACAGGCTGTGTATAGTTTATCTAAATACTATATTGATATATTTTTTATTCATATCTTTTTTTTGTAACTTCACCACAAAATAAAGAGGTGGAAAAGATATGTTCTCTTTTACAATCTACTCTCC